CACTGTAACTGACACATGTGCCTATACGATTTAGTGCGACACTAACTATACAAAGATATACGACTATTATATTTTATGAAAATTTGAGCTATATATATTTATCACAATTTTATTGTCATGTTATATGTTTATACATATTACCTGTTAAATGTTCTTAAAATATATGATTTAAACACGAACAGTGTATTTTATTTTTTTGAATTAAATTGTCATCAACATTCTCTTTTCAAACAGGATTTTTTTTCTGTTAACTTGGATATTTTGTCCTACGAATTGGTTATTTTATCCCCGGACGCATTAGTACAAGATGATATTTCGTCGTAGGCTCGCCTGGCTACAAACACAACAATAGAACACACATTCATATAATTATACGATTTATTTGTTTCGTTCACATGTAATATAATATAACTAAAGTACATATAAGTATACAATATGACTCGTGTCTACATATAATATTATTATATTAACCTTATATCATAAACATGGGCTCAGTAACATTTTTTTCATTATAAATAATATACAATAACGTAACGATAATAGTAGTTTTTACAAGCACGCGGCACCCTAGCTGGTGGGCGCCTGCAGCGGTTGTACACATTATTATTAGATTTTGTTACGAGTATTACATATTATTATTATTTATTTTTTATATCTAGACACAAATTTCATCGTAACAATAAATATTACAGATCATATTTTATAAATTAATCACCGATACAGTTTTAGTTATATTATACGCTTAACCTATAGCAATGTCGAGCGTTTACGCGTAACAATAATAATATATTATAATATAATAGGTACAAAATAATATAAACAATACACTATATTTAGTCGCCGTCGAGAATATTATTATTATTATTATTACTATGCATATCGTGGTGTATGTTCAGTTCTGATATTCTAATCGTGCGTTTATATAATATGCCTAGTTGCATATATATATAGGTACCTATGTGTATATATTTTAATCTAGAATACTCATAACAAATTAATATAGGTCATTCGTTATTCATCATTTAATTATCACAGTAAAAWATAATCGTAATGTTAATAACGATAATAAAAGAAGAGGATAAATCTTTTCGATTTTATAATTACATAATATAATATAGCAGTTATTATTATGATGCGGCTCAATTATATATATTTTAAACATACGAAAAATTAATAATAATAAAAAAAACAAAAACAGAGTAAAAACGAGAGCTTAACGTGAAAAAATACACGTATGTTCGTTAGGAATGAGCAACAATAATATCTGCTCGAAATCGAATTGGGTACTATAATAAATATTGGTAATAAAATATACTGTACACAGATATATGTATATATAGGGTAGTATTCCAGGATAAAAAAATTGGTTGGTTATTTTCGTGGAAATGTTTATTGAAATTGTTCGTGGATTGTCTTAAAACGATATTGTATCATGCATTACGATAAAAATTATTGTTACACGTATACTTAGGGTAAAAGGAGAAAAGCGTATAATCGTTTGTGGTAAAATAAAACACGCGTTTGAGCTCTGCGCAGTCTGTACATTTACATATTAGGTATATATGATAGTATAYACATAATATAATTGTATTTATATAATATTATGTATAGTTATAATGTACGTATTAAAACAATAAGCTGGATTTGTTTCCGGCCAAAACGTGTGATGTGTGTCTAACGAAACGTAAACTAAACTAATTTACATAAATAAAATAGAATCTATCACAACAACATCTCGATATATAAAAGAAAAAAAAATAATAATCAAAAAGGAACTATATCATAAAATTAATACCAATCGAGTTTACAAATAAATAACAATTAGTTATGTACATCATTTTTACAAGAACACAATTAAAAACAAATCGATTACATATTGTGTATACCTATTTAATGTATAACGRTAAATAACGAAAAAAGAGTAACACAATACGATTGATTATTTATATTTACAATTAATATTTGTATGATGCATGGGTATATTAAATTGTGTAAATACGCAAAACGATAAGGTATAAAAAAATTCGAGCGAATGTTTTTCATTTATACAAAAAGGATTAGGGGTTTACTCGAAACGTTTTGATTTGTTCGGTTGCTTTTTATTCGGCTGTGAAACATCRAACTGACTTTTGACGATTTTCRGGCGGTTTTCAACAAACCATATCACCGTCGTCGTTTTGATCGTCGCGGGCAGGTGCAGCTGGTGACCTATGTAATCACAATTCAGAAAACTACATTAGAAATTGTATATTTATTATTGTCTTATTCGAATTTACACGTAAAGACATAAAATACGTAATCGGCTTAAGAGGGTGCCAATCCTCTAAAAAAAAAAAAGTGCGCGAAAAAAACGCTCAGACATGCAGTACCTACGTACTACATATACATGRTTGAGAAATTGAATAATAAAAAAAGATACGGTGTCGTATATTTTTCATAAATATATGCAGGTATACATTAAAAAGTTGTTTTATGTTTGGAAAAGTTTAAAAATAACGAATTTTAAAACAAAATATAATAACTTTTTATAATGCAGCGACTCGTATGGCCGTATGGGTACCTAAGTAGGTTAATCTTTCTGCTAACCGGAATTTAGTGTCGAGTYGAGTATCATTGAGCATTTGAGCGTAGGTCACTGCAGTGATGGATGTGCTAAATTTAAATGCGATGATAAATGATGGCTTCTATAAGTACACACGATGGAAATCGATTATCAGCAAAAACGGCAATTATAGAGTATATTATAATTTTTAAGGGCATTTTATTTTACGATAAATTAATATAATTTCAATTTTTAGAGCGAAATATAGGTTAAACCAGAGATATTAAAACTCCCGCGACGCACAGCTTGAAAACCTCCGACTACGGGTTAGACAAAGACGATCGTTTCTCTCGCCAAGCAATTACTTATTGAACAAGCGAATGATTAGGTATGTATATAGAAGATTTGTTATGAGCTAATAACGACGTCAGCATAGTTGTACACAATTATTACAGTGTATACTGTGAGCATACGGTAAGGGAACTTACAACGCTTTGTAGCGAGTGGCATCATCACTTGCGTCCAACAGCCGCCGACAACGACGACGACGACGACGTTTGAAGCACGACTGGACACGGTACGTCTGTCGCCTCGGCGTACAGACAAGACGATTCGCTGCACGAACAACCACTGCTGCAACTACCCTTGTCGTCATTTCCCGTGACATTGAGGCCTCCGCCGCCACCGCCTCTGTCGTCGTCGTCGTCATCGTCATCGTCACACCAACCACGGTCCCGATGCCATTGTTCTGGAAACCAATAAATAAATTAATACGAAATATTTATTAATATATAACTTTATATTGTACGTCTTATTATTATTATTATTATTTTTAATGTACCTAATTTTTATACAGACTATTTTCTGTATAAAAGGAAATAATAGACGTGGACCTCAGCCCTATCCTCTCGCCCCCGAATTGATGCATGCGTCTAATAGAAACATCAACGCATTTCTCTCGGTCGATGTTTATAGAAATCATGATTAATTTATTATTTACACAACGATTATATTATAAAGAAGGTTTTCGGACTAAGAACAAACAACACAAATCTCAACCACTAGGTAATAATTAAACTAATTAAACGATAGACTGACATCATTTTGAAATTTAATAGGTACCTCTCAAATTATAATCATTTCCTTGCGGTGGTGCAGTTGTGCGGGGGCGATTACTCTAAACATTGATTGGTATTCATAGTCATAATAGTGATTCATAAAAATACTTAAAATATTATGTTGATAAACGCGATGATCACGAAAGAAAACTAAAAAATATAATATCCACCACAAAAATAATTCCATTTTGTTCTTTGAAATATCATTTATCAGCGATCAATATAATATGTATAGTAGAGTTTTAATTTTAATTCCATAATTGGTTTGATTTTTAAACTGAATCTGAGTATCGCAGTTCTCATTTATTTTAAATTTAAATAGGTACAACGCGGTTAAACAAATAGCATTTACGATTTTTAAGTAATATTTTTCCAATCAACTGGAAAACGCTAGGTTATTACAATGAATGCCCTATAATAACTATATTATCTGAAGAGATTAAGTYAATTCGAATACTAGGTAATAATATCTAGTCCAATTTAAAAGTTAGAAAAAAAAATAATAACTTATAGCTTTAGCATTTTAACTAGGTAACTGCAGCAAATCCCACTTGTGATACGAGCACGACTGTAAGACGTGTAGTTTCACCTGGTATGTACCAGYCTATACCTATACCTAATACCTATCTGTTATATTGGCGGTATAAAACGCACGATACCGATGATGGTCGTAAAAGTAATTTTGAACATTTGATTATCGMAATAATTTCCGGTCCTTTTTATCGTTTTTACGTCATTGTAGCGATGGTCTCCCGGGTACCGTACATCGGGTCTCGAAAAACAATATAATATGGTCGTWCAATAACCGTGTGTATAACGGCCTCACGTATATCGATATCTATGCTGCAGGTACCTAGATTCTTTTATCGTCAAGTGCGAACCAGACAATACCCCGGGAAATAAACCTCGTCATAATTATATTAAACATTYGAGGAGTATAGTAAACTGTTCTACGTTTTTCTACGCGGTTACTGTTATTAGTTCTTGAAATTTAAAAAATGCCTTGTACCTACCTACTTATTCCTGAGACGTGTTATATCGTTCGAGAATAGAAAATAATCACTTTATACATACAGCAGGTCATGCGGGATACATTTATGAAAATCGTTTTTTTCAACTCTATTAATTTTTT